TCAAAGACAAAACGAAACTGCGCTAATGATTGGGGGTTGAGATAGGGTAGCACGAGAAAAAAACTTAGCGTGAGCTGATGCGCAGCCCTGCATGAACCTATGGAGAAGCAGTGCATTTGCGAATGAAAATGACTCCGTGCAACTTTGAAAAAAAATATTTAGGAGCACCAGTGCGACTGACCTGATCAGCATATTTGTGTTTGTGCTCAGGGGAGCTTCAAAGGTTTCTAACTTATTTACAACATGTTTTTGCTGCGTTGAGTAATGTATCACAGACAAATCTGTTGATTCCTTGAACACAATGTTAATCAGAATCCACTCACTTCTCAAACACCTGAGTTTTGTTCAGTGCTGAGTTCTGCAGTCTCACGAATCCTCTCATTATTGCAAACAAAGTGTTAACAGGGTGTAAATAAGAGATTCATTGTGCAGTGTAGGGAGCTTCGTTGATTATAATGGAACTTTGTGAGAACACGATGAGTGAGTGACAGCTTTTAATGATTATTAAGGGAGTTTGCAAATGTGATATTGATTTAATACAACAGTTCATTAAACAAGAAATTAATATTAAGGGACTTGCATTGTCTGACTACAACACTATTGCCTGATTTTGCTCTATTTCATCAACGAAAATAGTTTCAAACAAAGTCACAGCTGAGCCGCTGCGCATTTCCAAGCAAACACAGCGGTGTTTCGTTTATGAATGAAAGTGCGTTTTTAAACAAATCTGAATCAATTATCCATTCATAAAGCCAGTCACCTGCTTCATTCCTGAATTAATTAGTCGTTCGAACGAATCAATTGAATGAATGATTCAGTGATAAACTCAATGATTTGCCGCCACCTACTGGCAGTTTTACTTTCATTTTTAAAGGATCTTTTCTGTTATTTAATTTGTTTAATATTTCTATATTCAAAATGTTATATTTAAAATATTAACTTTAACATGAATTTAATTCCACTCATGCCACCTCTGAGCTTCATTAAACATCTTAAAATACACCTACAAGCCACTTTTGTGTTCTTCTGTGCCACCTCTGTGGTACAAATTATTTTTTTTTAATAATTATTTTATTTGATTAGTAACTTATTCTTATTCTACTTGAGTTTATTCTGTTGTTTTAATTAGAAATTTTAAAAAGCTTATAAATATAATTTCTTTTGAATTTGACATAAAAGATTACATTTTTAATAAAGTTAGAAAAATGCCATTACAAAGGTGTAAAAACGAAATTCCCTGTAAATCACTTTAAGGAGTCAAATATCATCTCGTAATGGGAAGGCTAATATTTGATCAGAATTTTTGATTATTGATTAGAAGGTGCTCCTGAAATTTTTGACTGTGCTCCTAAATTTTTTTTAAATTTTTTAATTAAAGTACGCACAGAGCCCTGTTTAATTACTTTTTATTCATTTAAAAATTGAGAAAATCTCTCGAATTTAAATCTTTTACAAGAATTACAGCAAAAATCAGTTTGATGCAAGAATATATATTTTGTATTTGAATATTACCAGTGTGAACTCCATTGACTTCAATGGATTTAATTAAATTCCTTTGAACACGACTGCTCAAAGTGGTGGCTTGAAACCAACACATTCAAAACCTCATTACTCTGAAATGTTTTATGTAAATGTTAAGTGTAAGTGAAAAGTTAAGTACTGTAACAGGTCTTTCATGATGCTTCATATGCTGGGGTGTGAACTTGATAGGTGCTTGAAATTAAATAAATAGTGCTTTAAAAAGTCCTTGAATCTGGTGTTCATGAAAGAGTGGGAACCCTGTTTACATCTAGAAAATAAGTGAAGTACTTAATTCAAAACAGCAATACCACATGGTTATTTAATATATAATACCATTTATTTAAGCAAAAATAAAAAATTTGTGATCTTAATCGCAATTGTTACTGTATATAAGATTTTGGTCAAACTGCCAACCCATATTAAAAGCCAAGGAACTGTTTTTAAGGATCTAATGACATGCGAGTATAAACATTTAAAGCTGCACTAGAATTGCACTGCATTAGCAGTGGTTAAGAATGAACAAATTACATAAAATAGCAACAAATCTGTGGTTCAAAACCAGGTTCTTGTCCTATCCTGTTTCACTATGGTAAGCCTACAGGTTTTATTTACGTTATGAGTTATGTCAGATTTGGAGGGAAGTTGCAGGCTTGCATCATTCGATAGTGCATGTTTACGTCATGTCTGCAAACACAAAATCGACCGTGTGTTAGCTGAGGAGGGGTTTAAACCATTCATTACCCTGCAAATGTTAAAAAAGTGCTTGGCGAATGGTCCATTTTGAATGCACACATATTGCGTTCATAACCATGGTGAAATAGCGTGAGACCACGTATAGCGAGGACAAACGTGTACCATATACATACCAGTCACTGGTGTGCAACAGAGTTCAGAAAAGTGCTCTCAGAACAAACTGATCTCTGACATTAAACACTCAGGTTCGCATCAATAGCTTTAGGCCTTGTTTGCACCTGGTATTAAGATGTGTTTTCGCCGATCCGATCACAAGTGGACAACATTAAATACATGCATAATTGGGGTCTAAAAGGTTTTAAGCTTATCCACGTTCAACCACGTGAAGAAATAGTCAAAAAAGCATTTAACCTTTTTGCTTTTATAGTGTAGAAGCTTATATGTTTGAATGCATTTAAACAGCCTTACTGACCTAATACTGTTGGACGTGTTGTAAGAAAACCACCAAACTCTGCTGTGTTGTACCAAAACAAAACTGAAATCGCAGCTGCTTTCTAGATCCTTTTTATTTGCTTCCTTTCCCAATAACTTGTAAACCACCTAACATTGGATCGTTCAGTCAACAGTATTCATATAACACATTTAGCACTCCCGCAAAAGTGATGTACAGCGTGACGAAATGGTGTCTCAAGAAAATCCGCGGTCACAGGAGATCCATTTTAAAGCCAGGTGGAAAAAGTATGAGTCTCAGCTGACACATTTGTAATTGGATCACTGAAAACATCTTAATACCAGGTGGAAACGTGTGAGAAAGCACCCTTAGAGATGGGACCGAGTGGGTATACCTGGGTTGGTGCTCAGACCGTTGGAGTGTGGGAGGACCAAGTGTGGGTTAGCGGTGTACAGAGTGTAGGAGTCGTCAGTTTGAGGGGTCCCGCCCCCGCTCAGACTCAAGCTGGGACTGAGGGCGGACCTGGAGAGCAGCTGCTGCCTATGGGTGGGCAGAGAGGCGTGTCGTGACAGGGTGCCCCCTACAGGACAACACACACATGACAGGAGCAGAGGGTTAATGCAAGCGGATGGAGGTTAGAGATTAACATTTATTACATGGGAAGCAGCGGGATGGAAGAAAGAGACACGTCTAGGTAACATCTGTCAGCATGTTACTGATTCAGTAAAGGAAACAATGTTATTTGCAGGGTTAATGGCTGTAATAAAATCCATCAAATGAAAACATATAGCGATCACGGGCTGTGAAGCTTCAAAACTTTGGTCAACCTGCTACAATTCAAGTTATTATTGTACCTGAGCGTCGGCTGATGACCTCGACTATGGAGGGGGGGAAGTAGCCAATTCTGTCTGTTCCCCTCTGGGTGTCATGAATGTGGCCCTTCCAGCGTCCGTCCACGTGCTGCTCTATCACCTGCCAATCACAACAGCAGAACACACTGACGTCACGGTGATCTCACCCGTACTGCTGCAAATGCAACCCGCTCGATTTTTAATCCAGCCGTTTTTCATCCTTAACAACCAGTCAAAACAGAGGAGGACGTCGGGAGTTCAGAGACAATGCATGATCTGAAAGCTTTTGAAAGTTAGATAACATAACCTCAGCTGCCCACCCTAAGCAAATACGCATAAAGCATATAATAGCTGCAGGCCCGACGACAAAACAACAGCGAGAACATTCAGCTCATGAAATACATCTCTAAACCCTCCAGTAAATGACCCTTAGACCGTACTTATTCTCTGCCCACAACTTCATGTGAAACAATGCTGTGTGAAAATGTATGTTAGTTTGAGTTCACAAGTAAACACTTGTGAGTTTATCTTTAGCGCCCTCAAAATACCAAGGCGATGAACAGAAAGAACTTGTGGTAGGGGAAAGAGAGAAAAATCAGGCCTCGGTTCAAGTGAAACTGCTTCTGAAACGCTAGTTGAATAGACTGACTAGGAACACGGGGTTTGGTATATAGTGCTTAAGAGAAGCGCAGACGTACACACACACACACACACACACACACTGTGAAGAGGTTTTATGAAGTCATGTAAGCGGCCGTACCGTGATGACATCACCGGCGCGTATGGTGAGGGCCGTGGGGTCGTGAAGGTTCCAGAAGTCTTTCAGAGCTCTGACCTGAAGAACTCCTGTAGCTTCTGGAAACACACACACATATATGTGTTGGATCAAAAACAGAAATTCACATAGCTCAGAGAGTTCAGATACTGGAAGATACCACCTACTGTACATTATAATACATTGCTAAATCTCATGAAATTGTCCAGCTCAAAATCAAAAGGAAGAAATAAGAAAATTACACTCACACACACACACACACACACACACACGTTTCCATGTTTTATGGGAACTCTCCATTGGCATAATGGTTTTTATACTGTACAAACAGTATTTTCTATCCTTTATAAAGAAAAAGGCTATAAATACACATATTTTAATTTGTAAAAAAAAACCTTGTAGGTCTACTGAGATTTGTCCACATTACAAACGTTATTTGTATATTTAATCACATTTCCCCCCAGTTTCTTTTGAAAATATATATAAAAAATGTAAAAAAAAATATATATATATTACTATTACTGTAATTTATATTGTGCTTGATTTTCTTAATTATTTAAGTACACTTACCCATTGTATTTTTATTCATGAGAATTTGTTGGAGAAATGTTATAAAAATGCAAATGCAAAAAATTGTATAGCTTAGTGTTCCTAAAACTAGTCTAGTGAGGTCCCGCCATGTGAAGCTCTCAGTGTGTCATTTCTGTGATTTTATTCCAGTGGAAAGAATGTGCTGACACACGGACACACAGCAGGTTCACTGAATCAATAATGAACTATCTGAGTCTGTCAGAGGTTTAGGGAAGCGTTGTGGCCCACATTCACACACAGAGCAGCTCTGGTTAAAGCAGACGGGCCTGTCTCTGCTCATTATGATAAGAGCTGTCTGTTTACTGCCTGAGTTCAAAGACACAAACAGAATGAGTGTCTCATATCAACAGTCACTTCAAATATTTATTTACAGTATATCCACCCGTACAAAACGGCAATAAATATTGCAGATGTTACAGAATGCATGAAGATCACACATGAAATGTTTCACATTCCCACTCATTAATGTCCAGGACATGCGTCACTGATATATATATATAGTGTGTTTACAAAGACTAAGAGCTTTTAGTGTGGACTGAGTCTGTTGACACTAGACTTCAGAGTTCATTTGGCTTTTGTGGAAGTAAAGTTGATTCCACTAGTTGCATTCTGAATTGTGTAAGTACACAGTTCATAACACAACCCAAGCAAGCCCATGCATCACCTCGTGGATTTTGTGTGAAGCACAGTTTACATTTTAAAAAGTATGCCTGCAGGAATCATGCATGATACCGTTAAAAAAGGTGCATTCTTAAAGGCCACATTTACAAAGGGAATTAATAAAGGGTACTAAACAGAAAGCTAAATTGCCCAAAATAACATGATTGTCATTGTTAACATTTCATTCTGATAGAAATGTTCACATATGACGTCAGTACTTGTGGGTGGAGCCCCGTCTTATGTTTCATAGGAGGGCCCCACAGATTTGTGGTATGCATCTGCACAAACACACACAGGAGATGTCTTTTGTCTTTTTCATGTGCTCAAAACTAGCCAGAGAAAGCAGCAGGTTATATAATCCTTAGTTTAAACGTTTGGTCATTCCCAAACACACACACAAACAAACTTCACCATGTACACACTCCCATATACTGTGTGTATATGCAGCATGAACACAAACACACTCCACATACACACTGTTAGACACAAATACACACACTACAGTTCACAAGACAGCTTAAGGAGATCAAATACAGTCAGTACAGTCTTAAAATACATGTCAGATTGCATCTCACCTCGTAAGAGCTGCTTAATGTCTTTGCTGGCGTGGCATGCGGTGAACTGGTTGACGATGTCCAGGGCTGTTTGATTGTAAGTGTTACGGATATTGACATCAATCCCATTCTGCCGTCATATGAAACAAACATTAGGATGGGTAAATGCTGTCTGTTCATTAGCAGAAGCACAGTCAGTGTGGAAAAGGGACATAAACATATTAGTAAAAAGCCACTTTATTGTCAGAAAGGTTGGCGACCCCTGTAGTAGAGTCGTCTCCAAAAACCAGATGAACTTACATCCAGGAGTAGCCGCACTACCTCTGTCTTCCCATAGAGAGCGGCCTCATGGAGGGCTGTGCCAGCTTTAGTGGTTCTGTTGATGTCAATACCTGCTTTCAGAAGAAGCCTGAAGACAGAGAGAGATGGAAACTCAATGAATGGACTGGTGTCAGTAGCCTACTACTACTCCACAGAGAGGAGATGACATCCTCTTTAGCATTCTGTGTTATATTTACATACTGAAGGGCCTGTAATACACACAGACTTGTGGAATTCACACACACACACACACACACACACACACACACACACACACACACACCAGCTGGAATCAGAGATGCTCATTTGTTGGAATGCTGGATGGAATTTCAGTGCTGCACTGGAAATGCCAGGCATTAGGATGGGATCTGTTAGTGTGACGGCCGTAGGAAACACACACGCACACACACACACACACAGGTTTGTTTTTATGGTTTATGGGGACTCTCCATAGGCGTAATGGTTTTTATACTGTACAGACCGTATATTCTATTGCCCTACACCAACCCTACCCCTAAACCTACCCCTCACAGGAAACTTTCTGCATTTTTAGATTTTCAAAAAAACTCATTCTGAATTATTTATAAGCCTTTTGAATTACGGGGACACTGAAAATGTC